TGGGTAAAGCAATCACCAACGCACTCAAACAATCTACAAAGAATTTAATTTAATTTGTGTTTGCATAAATTACTAGTTATCTTTAAACAGAAAAAAATGCAATTGGCTTATTTGGATTATGTCCCTAATGCAATTACTTTTTTCTTTAAAAATACAACAACAACAAACAAGTAGGCCTATATTGTAAAACAAGACAATTTTGAATACGAAACTTTCGCATATTGTTTAAGGACAGCCATTTTCATAGCAAAAAAATTATACGCATTGCAAAACATTAATATATGAAAGTCAATTGTAAACAAGTATTTCGCTGTATGAAACTTTTGCTGACTAGAAGGATTCACAAAATTCATGAACATTGTATGCATGCAAAAATTTCTAGTTTTACAGTATCTAGCTAAATTTTGACAATGTTTCACCTTGTACATTATCTCTGCCAGCACACATCACCCTAATCACAGACAACCTTGCTAGAAAGATGTCATGAAGCCCACGCTTTATTTTGAGACGTTCACATGCTATTATTAGCACAACTCTGAAGATCAAAGTCATGTCTTCTGGACAAGTTTTCAGATCCTGAATCTGCGTTAAGAAAGCAAATACCTCCAGGAACTGGATGACACTGGTTTGATCAAAGAGGTAACTTTCATGGCACATGAACAGAATTAATCTGCAGTGCCACTGTCTTCTACTACTCCTTCAAATACCCCTTTCAGATTGTTAAGGGTTCTCAACTTCTTGTCCAATAAGCCGATTGAAACTATTCTCTCATCTCATATGCTGCTGCTGCTGATGATGATGAAGCGATTTCATGCAACTTTTTGACGGTCGTAAAAATAAACGGTTTGAAAACGCAAACATGAATATGAAATGCTAAAAAAGATGCATTTTTATAGCCGGTCGCTAAAAATCGCTTGAATGAAACGGAGATCTCAATCATGATTCAATGACGTCATTATCATGGCTTGCTTCCAGTTTTGCTGACAGTCGACCGTAAACAAATTCAGAAAGCGCACACCGAAGTTGATCTATAGGTCCTTAGTCAAACTTCGCAGTGTGATGCCCAGTGGCTAGGCTTGAAATGAGCGGGAATCAGTGTTGATGGAAAATCGCTTGAACGATTTCCTGCAGTAACCGTGTTATGTATCAGCGTTTTGATTTGTGATTCATGTTTGTGATTCTAGCTTCAAAAAATCGCCTAAACGCACTAAGGCTGCGACGAGTACTAGAATACTATAGTACTAGCACTGTTGACAACTACTGGAGTACAATTTCTCATACTCGGATACTCGGCCGCCATTAAAAAAATTTAAAATTCACCCCGTTCACCTGGCACTGTCCATGCCCACGCTTACCCGTGCCCTGCGTGCCCGGAAGAGTGCCAGCATGGTACCGTGGGTAAAAATATTTCCCAGCTCAATCACTGTCAACTCACCACTCAGAAACTGGGACCAAATGTCCGGATTTCTGTTTGGACTTGGAGGAAAATGGATTAGTCTGTCATCATTGGTTTTTAAAACAAAATTGTTTACCGTTATTAATATCATTAAATCAGCGCCTTCAACTGCAACTCGAAGTAAAATCATGTGAGTTTTCGGATATGGACCTGGGATACTGCTACCGTAGTATCGCGGTGTCAACAACAATTTTTTTTTTAAAACATGGCGTCCAAGTATTTGAGTATTTGCCTGTAAGCCTGGGAGTGTACTCGAGTACCTCATTACACAGTTATGCACAGCCTTAGAACGCACCCTAAGACTCGTTGCCTTATTGCAATAATCAGGAATGACAGGGCAAGGACATTTTATGAATCGTCAGAGAGGAAAGTGAAAGATTGCAGTGAAGATGGTGAAGAACCTATAACGCCCCACTTACTTGCACCCTCTATATCGGTAACCATTGGTCTTTTTGGGGGAGAACCTTTTTGATGAGATAACTATCTGTCAGTGGCCATGCAGGGAGGTCTACTCCCTCCTGGCCAAACTAGTGCAGTGGGGCTTTAACACATTTACGTTCATCAATTCACAAAACACTTCACAGGAATCTTTTTCCCAAAATCTGCTGACAGCCAAAAGAGCCTGATCACTCATACTTTCAAACCAAGAGCAGGTCCAAAATTTTGTAAAAGAATTAAAGAGCAGTGGCTTTACAATTGAATTTCATATACATGTATGTAACTAGATAAGGCATAAAGAGGGTACTACGCTGTATGAGCTTCTACAAAACATTTTGAATTTGAAGCCATCTGTATAGCACTAACAAATGCACAGTCATGCAAATATTATGCTTTCTGAACAATCCTATTCAACCAACACAGGATCTTATTAAAGTTCATACATTTTAAGGAAAACTGAAAGGTACATCATAATATAATCATATCCAGATATAAACATGATTTCTGTTACCTTCTGCCATCCAAATGTTTGTCTTCTGTACCTGAAAAATGTATTTGCATATTCCTTTAACCTTTAACATTAACCTTTACTAGTACAGTGTAAAGATGATAACTGAAGATGGCAAACAATACTTGAGCAAAGTACATTGAATATTTTCAGCTCTTTTCATCAAAGGGTACAAAAGCAATGTAGGTTGACTGCGCTGTCACTACCGTAGTCTACAGGCAACAGGCTGTAATAATTTGAGACTTAATCACAATTCCTACAGCCTTGAGCAGAGCCTAGCTCTTTCAGTCTCTGGCTGTGTCCAGAGTAGCTATAAAGTAAAGAGCCTATTTTAGGCCATCATCAGTCTTAAATTGCAGACACTGTTACACACAACATCTGACAAGGGTTTGTGCTTGCAAACTATTAGCTTTGACATGCTTTGAACTGGTCATCTACATTTTCTACATTTCTTTATAGCAAGAATGTCAGGTAACAGAATCCTTGTATCAAGCAGGAAAACTTAAAAATGACAAAGCATTCAACATTTTTGCAAATATTTACATTTTTTCTCTGATTGCCACTCAAATATTGTGTTTATCTACAGCAATTCTAATCTGATTAAGATAATAGAGCTTTTGTGCCAAACCATTGGTAGTATATCAATAAAATACTTCCAATTTTCCAATTTCATTCAAATTCTTTATATGGGTTGATTGGAGCCAGAAGGGCGTTAACTCATATACTTCAGCACACAGATAGCGCCCTTCTGGATCTGAACTCTATACAGCTAGACGATGTATGATTAAACAATATGAACATTTTCAACATAAACGTGCATACATCATCAAATTTGAAAGGAACGTTGACCATTAAACCAGAATTCATTTTGTTAGTCACATGCACAGTACATCCACACAGTATGGGACAGGGCCCTTTTATGGCTTTTTCAATGAGCACACTCAGTTTATAATAAAGCACTGAAATTCCATCTCTTTTGAGGCAATTCATTTACGTGCAAACTGCAACAAAAAAGCCGGATGTGAATGATCATGCAAGCTAGAGATGTCTCGGTCAAATGATATGGCACAATACTTTTTTGTGTCTTCTGCAAATACTGTGCAATTCCTGGATTTTTCTTTTACGCTATTAAGCTGTTTGTGTCAGTTCAGTTTGACATTCTGCACATATCAAAAGGGCAAAATAGTGAAATACTTATTTCTCTCTCTCTCTCTCTCTCTCTCTAGAATTTTAATTACTTTGTGGTAAACTTTAACAATGGCAATATTTCCTTTTGGAGCACTGCGCTACCAGTTTGCTACAAAGACAAATTGCATTTCAAAATTGATATGGGGAGTAATTCAAATGAGCTGTAAATATATTTAAAAAAAGCATTCTCCAAATTACGCATTACACTTTACTATTGTTAGGACATACATGTATGTACACCAGGTGGATTAGCGTTAATTTTGAATATGATGTAATATTAGATAAATGTTAAAGTGATTTAATTGATTAACCCAATATGCAGGATAAACACCACATGACAATATCTTGGTGGAAAACCATGTACTAAATGGAATATGTGTGACTGGACAAAAAAAATGTAGGTCTATGATCTACAAAATCTATTATAAAAAAATTATATATTGTGTAGATGTTCCGACTCTAAAATGTAAAGAGTAAAGAAGGATGTTAATTCGATACAGTTCATTTGTACATACAATATCAAATATCCCATATCCCCCAAAGCTATTACTTGAGTAATATCAAATATTAACAGTTACAGGTGTATGCAACTTTGCAGTATATGCTTAAATGGCCAAACACAATTTGTAAAAAAAAAAAAAAAATTTAAAGAAAAAAACTTTTGCTTCAAAACAGTACTACATTTTATACCAGTTGAGGTGAATGAAATAGTGTGAACAAATATTGACAGTTATGACACTTGAAGCTCTTGAAGCTACTGGAAGCCTTTCATCAAAGGAAGGTAATATGAATGATATTAATGCATTTCTAAAAGTCAAACCTGTGTATAACGTTATTATGGATTATCTTTAGAGGCAGGTGGTCTTTCTGTACAGGCAGCTGCTAAAACAGGGTTGATCGACGGTCATAACTTTACCCATCATGAAAATGAATGATTTTTGTAACGGTTTGAAGGCTTTTGAAAACTCAAATACATTGCGGATCACAATTAAATGGAATGCTGAAACTGGGGTTGCATGTGTGTTCCATGAAAGATGCCTGGATCAAAACATGTGCTTGCAAGTGTGTGCATGACGGCAATAAATCTCATACATAATTAGAATGTTTGCTATGATGAAGTTTTGTGAAGTGCACAAGTAGAAATCAATGTTGAATCTTTTTGTGAGGAAGCAATAATTCACAACAAAGATCTATACAAACAAAAAATTTACACTATTATCTAAAACAGTTTTTCAAAAGTAACATCAACAGTGGTTGTTATTATTCCTCTATCCTGTCTTGTTTCAGTTGAGCAAATTCAGGCTATCAGTCAGCAGACATTTGTTCTTTTTCTATTAAAAACAACAAAACAGGTAATCCTTTATTGTTTTAGAATATAAAGAGGAGCATTTCAGGAATTATGACAGTAGATTGGTTATTGGCCCAACAAAAAGTTAAGCATCCCTGCTCGAATGTCTGGTTAACAATGGAATGGTAACCAAAAAAAGAATAAAGATTTATACTTCATTCATGTAGCTGTCCAAGTTTGATATCAGGCGTTATTATTGACACAACCTCATACCGGCCTGCATGCACAAAAATATAAAAGTTATTGAACTTTTTTGTATACTTGCTCCACAATCAAACAAATATGTCCACTTTCTGAATGTCATCTATCTGAAATATAAAATGGGGCTCATTTGGTAGAAACAACAGAGCGACCTGAACAAAAGTTAATCTTGAATCAATAGAACAAGGTGCAAAGGTAGATCGGCAAAGCCAAATTAAATATTAGTCATTCACTCATACAAAAATTATATGCATATACAGTGTAACTGTTGATACATTCAGAAGCATGTTAACACTAGCTGTGATATGAGCAGGCTGTGAGGTTAGTTAGTGGTGGTTATATATATGCATCCATGGATATGCAGGTATGAGGTTCAAAACGTGGAACTGAAAGGTAAAATACCTGTTCCATTTTGGCTAAGCGATCTGGATCACAATCAAGCTTGAAGGCGTTGAAGGAATGGAGGAGGGGTAGGAAAGGTTCTAAATGGGGTCAAGGTCACAGGGTTCAAAGGTCAAAGGTCGATGGCCTTTGAGGCAGGAATTCCCTGGTAACAGAGATGTGTGATGCAAGCTGAACTTGGCCTGTGCAGAATAGATATACAGAGAAATGTATGAGGCTAATAACATGGCAGTTTATTACATCAATGGTTTGCATAATTGTTATAACATAGTCATTTTGATAATAAGTGTACTTTGGATATATCATATTTAAATCATTTTCTGCTTTCCTAAAAAAAAAATGTGTGGACTAGTGGATGTGCAGTAAGGACGCTTATATAACTACTTTCTGAGTTGTACATCATGCAGTGCACATAAGCATAGGGAATCATGCATTGTCTAAAATTTTCCTATAAACAGCAAATATCATGCAAAAGAAAATTATAGTCCTCCTACATATACACATCTACAATACTCTACTTTGTGAATGATTCTTCTTTTCTCCATCTTCTTCTTCCTCCTTTTTATTTATAAACACAAGCTCCTCAGAAAAAACACTTAAAACTGAAGCTTTCAATTTACAAAGTTTTCAGCTGGTACAGATCCCTGCTTCAAAAGTGTTTGTAATGCAAATTTGGAAGAAGATATTTCAGATTGTGTCATACCAATTATAATAAAATGTACACTCAATCTCCATATAAAATTAAATAATGTTTAAACCAATACCTGCGTATTATAATTAATCCATATTCTTCATTTAGGTATCGCAAGAAAAACAAAATCTGTTAACATCTTGATATTGATAGACTGATACGTGACTCCAACAGCTCACTCCATTATATTGCTAGAATAATAACACCAACTTGAATGTGCTCTGCTGAACATGAATGATAGACATGTTGATCCTATAAAAACACAATATCCAGCCTTTCCCTAAATCAACAAATGGAAAACCCTTCTCAAGATGAACCATCCTGTTTGACGCAACAAAAAGAATAAACATCACTCACTGTTTAGTTAGTCCATTCCTGGCTCATACAAAGAACTCCATATTCCCAACACTTGCACAGCAACTCTCCGGTTCAAGCAAAGAAAAATAGTGTGACTCTATAAATCATGATTCACAGCTCCCTCACTGAACATTTGCATTTTCCCATGTAGAAACCTTGCATCTACGCCTAGGCTGCTAAGCAAATGTTCAGTACTAGTCACATTTAAAAAAAGGAGAGAACAACCCATGGCACGGTTCCACCCATGTCCTCATCACAATGCTGAAGCCAAATCTGTGTGAACTTGATCAAAAGATTAAACTTTATCCCCAACATAGAGGGGAAGAGGAGTTCCATGGGTGCAATGTTCACTCATAAGTCTTTCCTTTATCCTACACGGATTAGTATTTCTAGTCCTTGTTTCTTAATATTTCCATGCTCCACCGGTCATTATTTGTCAGTGGTATATGAGAGATGTGAGGCGCAGTCTTTGTTGATCTACGTTTTGTGCATGATTATAAAGGCCCTGGGGGCACGGATTTGAACAATGTTAAAGTTCTTGTTCATCACAAACACCAAGAGACAAATTTGCTCTGTGTAAATACAACACAGGAAAAACAGAGAGGAATAAATTAAACCTGAAAGGCATAACTTATGTAGATGAAAAACACTTGCTGAAATTATGTGACTTAAGTATTGCTCACATTTTAAAAGAGTAAACTAAGGGAAAGAAAAACAAATCTTCTACAAAAACCTGAGTTCCCATCAAAAGATTATTCATCCCCAGGGCAGATGGAGATTTAATAGGGGGCACAGTTCCATTATCAGATTTTATGAGATGCTATTTGAGTCAAAACTTTGAAAAGGATGTACACAAGTACACTATGAGGGAAGCTCATATTATTATTTTGTTGTTGGAAAATGCTACATATATGAACATTTTCCTGTATCCCAAATCAGATACCCTTTCCCATTCCTCTATAGAGAGCAAACACAAATTAGCAGCTATGGTACATTAAGTTTTAGCCTTTCATAGTATTTTCCCTCTACATGTATTTCAGTATTTGACTATTAAAGAGGTCAATTGAACGCTCTTTGAACCAATGGATCCACCCGAAGAGATAATGCAAAACAAACAGGACAGTGTCTGAAGAAGTATTAGGTTCATGGTAGAATCAACACGAATTCCCTACCCAACATTCTACCTGATATAAGAAATGGCATCGTTTAAACTCTAAAGAATTGGTCAATTGTGCATTTTCTAGTTTTTCATAAATCATTAAAACCTATAAATAAATGTTTATTGTTTTACTTCAAACTGTTACCAGTATACAAATTCTTTGAAACAAATATTTCATTGCTGCTTTGTTTTTGTGTTTTTGTTAGGGGGGGGGGGGGCTTTCAAAAAGTATCTACATGTATGCATGTTATCTAAGTTTGGAGGGTGCTTTATTTGGCAGTGGCTGGATGATTGATAGATAGAGGGGAAAAGAAATGACTGACAGCTTGAAAGCAGGGAAGAGGCAACTCATGGTTTGCATGAACACACCTTTCCTTGAATACACAGTAGGCGTGTCTTCATCATCTCGAGATTGCCAAATAGCCCGCTATTTCTGATTTGGGAAATAATCCCGAAGTTACAAATCGCGTCTTCATTAGCTCGAGATTCGACCTCGAAACTTGAAACTCGACCTTGAGAAATTAGCTCGAGATATTTTACTCAGCATTAGCGCGTACTGCGAATTTTCGGTCTAGTGAAGACGCACGGGACAAATACAGTGTAGCTGGATATTTTGCCAAATAGTGGGATATTTTGCAAACTATCCCAAGATATGTTGGGATGACAATCCCGACCAAATATCCTTCTAATTGCTACTTCGGTCTGATGAAGACGCAAATTAGCTGGATAGTTTGCGATCGGGATAGTTCAAATAGCTGGATATTTGGCAATCTTGAGATAGTGAAGACGTTCCCATTGTCTACCAACTTGCAATAAAAGTTTCACATGATTTGTATGTGGTATTTTGTTTTCCATTGTTTTCCTAGAGCGGGCGTAAGAAGGCGTCGAAGGTGAGGTACATTTACATGTAGCTACTGTACATGTATGATACTGCAGTTGAATGTTGAGGTCCCATAGTCATCGACAAGTAATTTTGACATCTTGCACTTTAGATATTTTTAACATCTCTATATAGGCACTAACTTTTTGCACTGTACGGTATTAAACATTTAGCCACTGCATGTATTTAGTACTTGTCTGTGGTCTGTGAAAGAGAGAGAAAATCATTTAATTTCTGATTTTTGTTTCTGAATTGACAAACTGAAGTCAAACTTATGTGATAAAATATCATCTGCTTTACATCTACATGTAGATACAATATATGATCAAAATGCTTTGTCTCAGCGGCCATCTTGAAAAGAATAATAAAAAATTCCAAATAGTACGGGCTTCCCTCACTGATTTTAAAAAAAGTCTGGACGAGAAACACATAATTTTTTTTACTTGCCCTGATCATTAAATCATAAATGATAATCATCATCAAATGATAAATTAGATTACGGATAGTCAACGAAATGGGCATTAGACAAACTAGAAATTAGAATAACTGGTTTAATATCAGACTAAATGAACAATACACCAAATGGGTAGGAGACTTATTTTAGACTAGACCAAATGAATATTAGGCTATTCTAAGCCTAAATGGTAGTTATAATACCAAATGATAAAGAGATGGAACTTTTATTAGACCATGTGGATAGTAGTAGACAGGCTGTGAATAGATTAACTTGGTAGTGAACAGACTGGTTGTAGACCACATGGCAATTCACCCATAACCCTACCCAGACCGATTTGGACATGTCCTCACATCTCTGTCCAGATCATTGCAAAATAAATGAAGATTCCCTGCTCCCACAACATAGGGCTCAATTAATAGGCTCAATGCATGAAGGCCCCTAAATGCCAGTCTGGTTCCCCCAAAGAAAAGTCAAGTGTGCATGGAGCCAGCCCTGCATGCCTTATGACTAGGAAACACCATTCAAACACGCATTATTTTTTCATCAACAGGAGAGTCATAGAAAGACAATTGATTGATCCAACTTCAGTTTCACCAAGTTGGCAATGAAGGCTGGGCACGGGGGCAAATCTGCCCCCCTCCCCCATCTTACAACCAGTTTCCAATCAGGAAAAAAAAACACCCCCAAAACGCTGACTTTTCACTCATTTATTGCAGGGTATGTGAAACATCAATCTGCTTGGCCACAATTAATGCAACGTACGTCATAAAATGGTGACAGGAAGAACAGGATACATGGGCAAGATGCAGATGAAAAGGAGAGACTGGGTTAACTATACATAGATCTATATCTCCTCATAGAAGGCCTGGCCTAATAGAGCACATCTGAACATACATGTATAGAAGTCTAGACAGAAATTACCATTTGGTATGGGAAATTCTTTAATAAGACTGACATTTGTCAACCTTCCCCATACACAAACAGCAACCCTTGCCACACACACACACACACGGAAAGGCATTAACTAGCAGATTTTCACCGGATATTTTGCACAAAAATTGTCTTTGGTTCTTCTTTTTTTAGACTTATTCAGTTTGATTTTTTTTAAATAATGATTGGAAAGAAGATAGATCTTATAGATCTCAATAAACTACTGAAAAATAACATTGAAAATCATCGTAAAAACTTAAAAATACAATTGTATGAGGACTTATTTTAAGCTAATCTGTCCGTTTTCTTGAGGCTACATGATGAGATCGACAACCACGCAGTCCTGCGCACAATCTACATTGCTTAACCTATAGAGGTGGTCATTGGAGCCAGAGGTAGCTCACTCAGCTCATTTCCCTCAAATTTATTTGAATAACACTGACTAGACTAGACCTTCTATATGCTAACTGTTTCAGTATTTTGCAAACAATAATCATCAAAATAAAAACAATACAAATTTACAAATTATTTAGAGATGAGGCAATCCATCTCCTACCACTCCACCTCCACCCCCTTCCCCCCCCCCCCCCCAAAAAAAAAAAATTATGTAGAGATGAGGAAATTTATTTCCCTGCTGCTCCACCACCATGCACCACCCTCCTACCCTCCGCTCCCCCACCCAACCCATCTACATGTATGTCAATGATGTGGATCATCCTCATGATCCTGTGTGTTTGAGTCGGGGTGTCCCTCGGCCTCCTGACATGAGTGACTGATGACAAGGGCTAAAAATTAAACTTGATAAAAGTGATAAATACGCCACTGGCCTGGTTCTCACCTCAAATTTCTATTTCCGTCACCTTTGATTCGAATCCACAGTAATTTCACAAGTGTTTTGCCTTCTTTTCTGGAAAACGATAACAATTCGGCGCACCCTGAGAGATTTTCTGGTAGAATATAGACAGTGATGATCAAGCGCTTGACAACTATGCCGCCGAGAAGCTAGGTATCGAAACACTCACACCCTCGGTTAAGTTGCAGGCTATAGGCTAGGCTGGGCGTGAAGGATGCACATCTTTTTCAGCCGTCTTACCGCTGGCTAGCATCATCGCCATATCGCCATATCGATGCAGTTGCCTGCTGCCTGCGCTGCCTATAGCATGAGCCAACGAACTCTATGAGCAGACACCTGTGAGAATATAAAACCAACGAAATTCGGCGTAGATGGCAGCATAACAAACAACCCATAGCGTACTTTGAGAGATAAGACACCATCAAATTCACGGAGCCCCAAATAGTTCCCTCCGACAGGGGCGGCGGAGCCTCTTTCAAGGTGGAGGTGCACCAATAAAAAAGGACACTTTCTGAATAATAGGGGCACCTACAAAAGATAAACTTCAAGTGAAAATCGAGTTCTTAGACAATTGGTATATCTGGGATGAACTTAAACACTTTTCTCTTTGCGTGATACTTGCTTTAGAACTATACTTTGCAGATACGTGTAATTGTCTGAAGATTCATTTGCGAGCGAGCAAAAAAGTTAAGATTTGTAAAGTCGCATTGATTTCGACCGATTAGATATTACATGTAAATTATTTACGTGAAATCAACAATCCTTATGGGGTTTTAAGCACAATCTCATAATGAAAGAATGATTAAGACAATAAATGCAATCGAGCATAGCAGTAATCGATCGAGGTCAAAAAAAGGGGTCTAAAAAAGTCCAACCGATCTTGGAAATTTTAGGGGGGGGGGCACGTGCAACTATATAAACAACTATATAATGCATTTGAATGTCCAATTTAAATTGATAAATCAGATTAAAGATATAACTATATACACATTTAGCATTGTTAATGAGGAAAACTTGCGATGTATTGTGTATCTTTCATTTCAGTTTCATTTAATTGTTTATTACATCTTATGAACTACATTGTATCATTTCCCAGATATCTTGAAAAACAAATGTTTATAATATGTTAATTGGATTATTCAGCTACAGTGTTGTGTACATGTAAAATTTGGAGTGGACTATTAGGCTATTATTATTATTATTATTTTTTTTTTTTTTTTATTTACTATTATTATCATTGTATCATTCCAGATTTGTAATGATGATTTAATGAGTAAATTTAGTTCTATAAAGTTTGAATCCCTGGATTTTTATAATAAAGATGATACTGAAAACCGAACATGTTCAGTTCATTTCATGATACAAAGGAGATACGGGAGAGTTGATGTTCCTTTTTTTCAATTTGGATTTGAAGTTAGTGCAGCTACCGTATGGATGTATTACAAAAACAAAATATGATTGATATGAAGCTTGTAAAAATCAGCCTGCTTATGTGGAAAAAAATGACTGATGCTAGACACTACAAAAAGAGAGTGGCTTCAAGTGTACCTATACCATATGCACCCGTTCTCAATAGTTTCATGCAAGTGGTGGTTCAACACTCCTGAATTTCAGGTGTTATGTGTTTGTTTTTAAAACCGCCTGTACTATTTCGACATTTTTGGAGAAATACTATTAACAGATGATGGAATTTGTATTCATATTTAGCATGAGCAAGTGTCCATGTGGACTTATTTCTCCACACAAAGTGTTTATTACATCTTATGAATTACATGTATTATTTCCCAGATATCTTGAAAAACAAATGTATATAATTATGTTAATTGGATTACTCATCTACAGTGATGTGTACATGTATATCATGGAACATACCAGATTTTTAATGATGATTTTAATGAGTAAATTTATTTCTATAAAGTTTGAATCCTTGGGTTTTATAATAGATTGGACAAAAAAAAGATGATACTGAAAACCGTATAGATGTTCTGTTCATTTCATGACCGCCTGTACTATTTCTACATGTTTGGAGAAATAATATTAACAGATGATGAAATTTGTATTCATATTTAGCATTAGCAGGTGTCCATGTGGACTTATTTCTCCACACATAAAAAAAACGTGTTAAATAAACTAAAACGTGTTAAAGGCAAATGGTAATGCATGATAATGTTCGCTTGGGGATCACATTCAAATGATAATGTTAATGATGATAATGATTATAAGTTATAATAAACTACAATATCTGTACATTTAATCGTTTTAATGAATTTAATTATGAGGAGAAATGCAATGTATTTGGTATCTTTCCCTCTCGGCTATATTCAAATGTGTGTACCAGTGTAAGGTGATTAGCATTAAATGCATTATAACCATGTCAAATTGGATATAATTTAGTATAATTTTTAGTTTATTTTAGAGAAACACATATGTTGAATGAGGTAAAGTAGTGTCTGCTTGCAGTGATGTAAGGTAAAATGGTACTGTACCATGTGATAGAGTGTGCTCTGTCGTATAGTTTCCCTTCCTCACATTGACTAATTCATCTTTATGTCGACTATACCAAGCATGCATCAGAAAATGCATAAAAATTATTAATATATTATTTTGGTTTTAAGGAAGGAAGTCTCACTCTAAGTATTAAAGATACACTTAAACTTCATCGCCACATTAAAAATCTATAAGTTTAGATGTGATGACATACATTGTGGGCTAACGCGAGCCTAGCTAGTAAACTTCAGGTGCTGGCGTTTTTTGTATAGATACCCCTTTCCGATTTTAAAGGTCTGTAGTGACTTGACCTTTGGAGAACTTTGCATTTGTAAATATTATTGTCTTGTCTTTATTGTGTGGCTTGAAGTCTAGCCTTTTATTCCATTGTCACTCATTTCTTTAGTGACACCTGTTGCATTACTAGAGTGCCACAAATACTTACTCTGGCAAGCACATTCCATACCCTATGGGTTGGGATGTGCAACCACCTAATGTACTGGTATAGCTTATACTGTACAGGTACATTACACTTGCTTGCTTTATTTGCCACACCTATTTTCATCACTTCTCCTGAGCTGTTCATATAGAGCACACCTATTCTAGAGAGTCGATCGATCTACAGCAAAGCTAATTCAGCTTCATCTTAATTCTTGTCCTATTTCTTCGCTTGTTTCTCTACTCGGTTCTGAGGCCTTATTACTTTATAGAGATTATAAGTTTCTTCTTCTTTACTTAACTCGCGAAGAAGCGTCATTACTTTGTACATGGTCTTACATATTCTTTCTACGGGTGCTGTGCAATATTTGAACTACTACTTGTGATATAATATATGTTCCAAGTATCTGTACTTAACAGGTGTTTCTACGAGACAAGGTAGGAAAGAAATCTATTTCTATTTCTTTTATTTAGGTGATTAAACCGTTTTATGCATTTTACAGTGGATTAACATTGAGGACTATTTTATAAACCTTTATCCATATTTTCACAATAAGCAAATATATATAACAATTGTTATTTTCAAAAATGAAATGAGAAACTGTCATAAGTACTAAATTTCCTCAACCATTATAACATTATTTACGGAAAAAGGACTGTCATTGTAAGCAGATTACTTGATAATTCCTCAATTCATACTGGCAAAGTAATTATACACTTACATTTACCTCAGGTTCGCTCTTCCGTTTCCTCAAATTCATTTTCCTAAGTTATGGAATAAACTCTCCAACGATATTAAAAACAGTTCAACCCTTTCCAGATTCAAAAAGTTAAGCAGGGAAATCTTAACTTCTTCATAATATGTTTTTGATATTCTTGTTCGCTCTTCTTTTCTCTTTGCCCTCATAAACATGTAGATATAGATCTTGCTGCTGCTGCAGAAGTGTACTTCTCTTTTTTCCTTGTTTATATTAATGTTCAATGTTTGTTTTTGTGTATAAGTATTGTTGACCTTTAAGTTTTTATGTATTTCAATTTGGTGGCCCCTTTGTATAAGCCCTGCTTTCTCCGGGGTCACCAAACCATCATTGTGTTCTGCTAAATTTTTGATGTAACTTATTTTGATTGTATATATATTTTGATGGTTGAATAAATAAATGAATTGAAAATGAATTGAATTAAGATAACATCATGTTAACTTTGGCCTTAACTAAGTAGAGGGATCAACATAATTTAATAGATTCTGGGAGAGAGTTCCATAGGTTTGGACCATGGTGTCTTATGGATCTATGGGCAATAAGAAATTTCTTGTTGACTAGATGAAAATTTGAGGAATTACGGGTAGGGTAATAGTGAATGGCTTCATTCATAGTGTAACAGTTTGAAAGTTTTGAACAGTTTTGAAATGTTAACATTAAAACTAGGCACCTGAAATCTGTTTGGTATTTGTAGACTTTGAAGTTCAAACATTATCATAATTTGAATGTCTTCTCTCCGTGGAAATTGTAACGTTAATATAGTTCCAAATGCCTGTACTTTATCATCCCGTAGATTCTCTGTCACATCTTAGTAAAAAAAGAAAATTTGATACTTTTTAATAATGATGATAAGTACCAGTATTATATTTATTACAGGATAAAAACAAACAATTGTTAATATAGGTATTTTTCAACAGGTAGTCATGCTGCTAATACGCCACATTATCATTAGGCATAATTTATTTGTCAGAGATTGACAACAACTACTACAATGTGATTACATCATAATATGTGACATATAAGCTGTTACATGTATTTCATCATTGACACCTATACAACTTCACCAAGTTAGAGAAACCAAAAAGCATGAACATGATAGAAGTGTTATTTATAAAGGAAAACATGGCAAATGATGACTGTGTAGACTGGAAATGGTGATCAATTCGTCAGATATTGTGTTGTATATTCATACAAAGTAATACATGTATGTCATTATTCCTTAAAATGGCCTTAAAATCTTGGTAAGGGTGAAGATATTTCAGTACCAAAGTGTGTTGTAAGTAAATGTATTTGAAGACATTTTCAAGATCGACTGCGGGTTATCAATAATGTATCAACATGAGTGACGTAATTATGACTGGTTGCATAGGCACCGGAAGTGGGGGGGGGGGCAGGGGGGAATTAACCCCAAAAGTCGGGGTATAGCGCATTTTTGCCCCCCCCCCCCAAAAAAAAAAAAGAAAAAAAGAAAAAAAAGAAAAGCAGTAACGGAGTAAACACTATTGTCACTATGAACATGACGGACAAAGAAAGAGGACAAAATATACACTTCCTCAGGTAGACAAAGGAACATCCCTTCACTGGTATTATGTAAAGATGTGTTTAACAGGTGTCACATGCATATTCACCTATTCTACACATTTTTACATAATAGCAG